GAACGCACGGCTCATGCCACTCATGTTCTCCCTGGATATCAGAGTTGTAAAATCAAACATAATTTAGTCTGGAATCTCAGCGGTTGCCATATCTGTTCACGGGGTCAAATTTAAGCGCGTTCACTTGCAGGCGTCATCAGCGTGTGGTATTAGACATCAATATATCATCGATAATTTCAACCAGATTAGAAATGAGAGATGAAAAATATTAGCCAAAATCTTCGGTGAACAACATTATTTGTTCCCCCTTGAGACAATTATTCACTTCTACTGATATTCCCGTCAACTGCGGCTAATAATTCTACGATATCTCCATACTATAAATTACAAATCCTGGTAGTCCAATCAGATTGAACTGTTGACGTCAGGTCATGGTTGACTATCAGACAATGCGCCAATATTTTAATGTGCTGGTGGTATTACACATTTTTTTTGAGTCACTATTATTATTAATTATGTTAATAACGACGTATACAACGCGTGTAAAATACATTGCTTGTTTACATGAATTTGTGCGACGACCACCGCCCTTTAATTCAAATATTTCTGTTAGTTTCAGATGTCTGCTGAAACGCATGTGATTTATAATGCCGCATATAATTAAGACGACATTTCAAATTTTCTCAACCTAAACTTTTCTGTGCACCAATAAATTTAACAACATTAAATCCCGAAAACTTATTATAGTGATCGTTCGAAAAATATATGTTCATAAGAACGGAGATCCTACATACAACTGAGGACTAGTACAATGTCTTAAAGACGCACTCACAAATTACGATTATTGTGTTTGTTATTTCTGGTTGTTCAAAGTTATTTGCATGAACACTAATTGGTTACTGACTTCTCTCTGGATGTGTATTTAGTGGTGTTAGTGTTAGTTTAGTTTCTATGGTAAAATTTACAATATTATTTTTACTAATACATCTTGAGGGTTTGAAAATAAAGTCTAAATTACATTTACTACTAGCAAAATAGCATATACTCGTTTAATACATCTGGTGAATAAAACTGTAAGATTAATTATGTGTTACGTAACACAAAGAGAAAATACGACAAATAGTAATATTCAAATGAGTAATGACTCAAATACGTG